TATAACCATCATGTAAGTACAAATTACACCTCCTAACTTAAACTACACATTAGTCCCCAGTGTGAAAAATAAAAGTAAAAGGAGATAATGTACCGAGTTTTTCAATGATATGCTAGAGGTGGTGGTGGATACTGTGGACAATGAAGTTGTCCCATGAGCATCATCATTTCATCATGACCCCGACAATGACCCTCTTCCATGGGATGGAGCGTGGTAAGAAGTATTTCTTGTCCCTCTTGTAGTTGTCTCTAACCTTCATGCTATTGTCTTTGCCTCATATAGCTACCTTTCCTCTTCATCTAGCCACTTAATGACATCTTCTTCATTTTACATGGACATCTGGATGTGCCTTAGTGATTGTCCAAAGTTAACACCCCCTTCGACGATCGAGTCATGGTGGTTAAATCAGGACTTGTCTGCCAATAGGTTCTTCTTCAGGAGGGGGCATATCTTCTTCTGCATTCTCTCCTTCTTCCTTTTCCTTTGCTTCTACTACCAGTCTTCCTTGCTTGTGCCTATTTATCTGTGACGTTGACTGTTTCATTATAGTAAGGCGTAAAAGTGGTGTCACCTATTATGATACTTCAAATAGTGTCATAGGTACTCCAACTCTTTTCCACAATGCAGAAATCAAACTAGGCATTGTTAGTTTTGTGCGATCTCTAGGAACCATACGACCATCGCTAATTGTGTTGAAGATGATTTGTCCAAAATTTAAGTCGTATATCATGGCTAGTCTGTACATAAACGTAATCTTTAATATATAAATTGCCGTATTGTTATTGTTAAGATCATGTTGCTTGAGAGAAAATGATGGAAGAAGCGTAGTTCATCATTCATTTCCCCATGATGAACTATGTTCATGGTTGGCCAACCTTTAGGCTTGGCCCTTGAATATACAAATTGTGCAGTAGCATCCTAATCAATGGTCTCTAGTACTTTAGCCCCTTCTTTAATATTATAATACTCTTGTATAACTGTGGTACTGAACGAAATCCATACTCTACATACATATGTTTTAGATAGTGATCCCTTTCTTCCTCCATAACATCTACATTGAAGTTACACATGAATTCCCTTTCGACCTATCTGTAAACCTTATTAGGTTTAGCATATAGTTTGGTCCATCCCTTTTCCATGAAAATGTTCAGTATGCTTATGACTTGGAATTGGTCTAGTAACACTCCCTATGAATAATAGTCCAATTATTGAATATACCTGCACATTGTGCTACTTCCTAAAAAATATATGTTTCATAAGACAGAAGCTTGAATCGAGACACCTCTCTAGTGGTTGAGGACTCCGTAATTCCCTTTTGCTTATTCGCTCTAGAGGTTGTTGTTCTTGGAGGTAATGTAAATGAATTATATCATACAAATGTAAATAAGATGTTAGGCCAAATTATATTTCGTCAACTTGTATAAGGAAAATATGTATTAATGATATATGCAAGGATGAAGTAAATAACGTGAGTCAAGTGAAATTTTAATTATGTGTGAGGATTGGGAAGTGGATAAACTGCCCCAAACTTAATGTGATATAGTAGCACAAAAGTCGTGATGTATAAGGGAAATGCCCGGGTATGCCCGACATTGTCTTGCCCGGGTATGCCCGGTGTATTTGTACATGGTACAGTTTTGATCAATATATTCACATTTACCGATCAAAAAAAAAAAAGTTTCAACTAAAATCCACTTGTTTTCAGTTCTCAAACAAAACCCATAAACTTCTTCTAGTTATACTCATCAAATCCCGTCACATTCTTGAATCTAACATCCTTAAATCCAATTCCAGCAAACTCCAATCCAATGTTTTCCTACAGTCATTTGAAAAATAAGTTTTTTTCAAAATAGTAGAAAAATATAGGGGTGGCAAATGGGCCGAGTGGCTCGTTGGCTCACCCGCTCGACTCACGAAAACGAAGATCTTGGGCAACTCAAGCTCGTAAAAACACGAGCCCGAGCGCGAGCCGAGACGAGCCGCACGCGGCTCGTTGAAAAACGAGTCCAAATGACTCGTGGCTCATTTGGGAAAGTGACCGTTTCGGCCCCTGAATTTATTTATTTTTATAATTTGTGAATTGTGACCGTTAACGGTCATTAAATTTTTTCAGTAACCGTTTTGGTCCTTTAATTTTTTCTTTTTCTATAAATAGTGGCATTTAGCCACAAGATTTTCTACAAATCACTCTAAACTCTCAATTATCTTTCTCTCAACTTTCTTGTGTTGTGTTGATAGTTGTGCAATTTTTATATACAATTTATACAATATCCAATTCTCATTTCTCAGTTCTCACTATATTTATTGAAATTTCATCCAATTTTCATTTCTCACTACATTTATACAATTATTCTTTTACTAGTTATTACTTATTACAATTAAACAAATGGATCCACGCACATTTGTCTAAAACTTGTTCGGTGTGGGTGGAAACGAATCCCCTATGACACCGCAAAGTCAATTTCAGAATCAATTTGAAGGTCTAAATGACGTACCCCTACCTAAAGATATTCTAGATTTGGATCTTCATCATCATGTAAACGGCAATCCAAATTATCCAATTAATTTGGATGATGATGACATTCCCGAAGCGGAACATATTCAGGAAGAAGAGGCTGAATTAAACATTCCTGATGCGAGGGGAAAGCGAAAGGGGAAAAAACAAGCAAAATGTTGGGATCACTTTAAATTAATTTCAATGGGAAAAATCGTCAATGGAGTTCAAGAATCCAAAGCAGTATGTAAATACGGCCAACAAAGATTGGCATGACAAATAGGAATTGGTACCACCCATCTCAACCGTCATTACAAAGTATGTGCGACCAAACACGGACTTATTACATGCTGTCAAACACAATTGCAATTTGAAAGTCCAGACACCGGTGGTTCTGGTGCACCCTATCCACGTGGATGTATTCGGAGGAGAGAGCTCAAACCAGAATGGTAAAGCTTGTTGCTGGTGCTAAATTGTCTTTGACATTAATTGACAACCAACACTAAGTCTCATATGTGAAAGAATATCTGTAGCCAAGGTATGTTAGGGTAAGTCGAAACATTCTTCATTCCGATACAATACAATATTTTACTTCAACAAAACAACAATTAATTATGGATTTGAAAAAATATGGGGGTGTCATATCTTTAATTTCGAATATATGGGAAGGAATTAATAAAAGAGTATATATAGTTGCAACTACACATTATATAGACTCACTTTGGTGCATGCATAAAAAAATTATTGCTTTTAGAATTATTGAGTTTCCTCACAACGCTAATAATATATTTAATGTTATTATTAGTATTGTTAGAGAATATCATTGCGAAGGTAAAATTCGTTCATTTATTTTCGATAATGCTAGTGTTAATAAAGTAGTTGCCGATAAATTGCATAGGGTACTGCAACCTGATTTTGGTGCGTATTTATTTCATATTCGTTGTGTATGTCATATTTTAAATTTAATTATCTAAAATGGTTTAAAACATATAAACGATGAATTTCAAAATATTAGGAACGTACTAATATATATCACAATCTCCCCAAGTAGAAAACAAGCATTTGAGAATTATTGTGCCGAAATAGGAGTGCAAAATGCTAAAACATTTGTTAACGACGTAGGTCACGGGTGGAACTCTACTTACTTGTTATTAAAGTCATGTGAAAGTTTTGAACATTTAATAACTGACTTTTATAACAATAGACATGTTAGAAGTGATGACGAGGGTATATTGACAAAACGTGATTGGCAAATAGCTTTGAAAGTTAAAAAGATTTTTGATATCTTTTTATGAAGCCACTAAGATTTTATCGGGCATTTACTATCTCATCAGTTGTATGGTGCTTGAACATCTTTATATAATTGCAAGAATATTACAGAAATATAGAAATAACCCTGATTTTAGTGAAATTATAATTGTTATGGAATTAAAATTTAGAAAATATTGGGAAGATTCGCCTATGTTATTTCCTTTAGCATGCGTAATGGACCCCCGATATAATTTATCGGGAACTAAATATATAATTGATCAAATTTCAAACGCCTTAATATTTGATACACCTATCACATATAGAAATTTAAAGTAAACATTATGTGAAATGTATGAATTATATGCTAATCGAATGGATACCAATATTAGTCGAGTACCATCTGCACCTATTCCTTTCGCTGAAATTGAAGAAGAAGATGCGAAAATATTTAATTTATTTCAAGGTATTAATTCGTATAGATGTGATTCATCTGCAATATGTTCATCTACCACCACTTCCATGTCGTCACCATCTGTATCTCATTCTCATCAAATATCTACGGGCTTAAGCCATAATGCATTGCCTGCTGAATTAATTGATTATTTCAACCAGAATGTGTCAACAGATAAAACAATTAAAAAAAGTTGAGACGAAGTAATTGAATTCTGACGAAGGTATGAACGACATTGGCCAGTTATATCTGCAATAGCAAAAGATCTGCTGACACCTCCGATTAGCACTGTTATTTCGGAGTCTGCTTTTAGTGCGGGTAAAAAAGTTTTGAGCGAGGTCAGGAGCCGACTGAAAGAAGATATTTTAGAAGCGTTAATGTACATTAAGGATTGGCAGGTCACTTATTTTCGACTACAAGATAAATATGCCGAAATTGCATGTCGTCAAGTAAGTTATATTTGATTTAATTATATTGATGAAACTTTTCTTTTCTTATCGTTACTTTTAATTTTCTTTAAAAAATTGTACACGCTACAAAAAATTGTTCGTGTACAATTTTTAACTCCGCTTATTGAAAATTTAAGTAGTTGGTCTCAAGTCCGGATAAAGGAAGAGGGTTTATACTTTATCTATTTTAAAAAAAATAAAAAAATAAAGATTCCATTTTTATTTTTTTCTATCAATTTAGTTTAATTTGTGTTAGTACTTTTTACTATTACTACTATATATCTACATTTTAAATTCTTTTCTCGAACAACGCTGTGCGTACCTTTGCATATAATTTTCGAATTAAATCCCTTCTGAAAATTGAAAGGGTAATCGAATGATTGCCCTTTTAATTGTTGGAAGTCTTTCACATCGAAGATTTTATATAATCTTCGAAGTGAAATACTTCTATATAATTTTCAAAGTGAAGACTTCTGACAATTAAAGGGCATTCGATTACCCTTTCAATTTTTAGAAGGGATTTACTTCAAAAATCATATGCAAGGGGACGCGCAGCATTGCTTGGAAAAATAATTTTTAATACTGTGTTTTAAATTTTCTTAAAAATTGTACACGAACAAACAAACAAACAACACAATTTTTAACTCCGTCTACTATAAATTTAAGTAGCTGTCCCAAGTCCGAATAAAGGAGGAGGGTTTAAATTTTTTACCTAATTTTTTATATATAATTCACGATTTAAAAATTAAAATTACTTTTTTATTTTCCAATTTTCTTATTTGTTTCAAAAAAAATGGAAAAACAACGTATGCTCGCGAGCCGAGCACGAGCTCAGCTCATGGCGAGCCCGAGCCGAACTCGTACTTTGCCGGCTCGGCCCATTGACACCCCTAGAAAAATATAAAAAGTTATAAACTTACCTTGAAGATTATGAATTAAGTGGAAGTGGATTCAAAACACTCTTCTTTTGATTAAATCAAATAATTTTCCTTGAAGAATAAGAGATGAAAGAAGATTTATAGTTGTGAAGGGTAGAATAGTAGGGTTTTGTGAGGAGAGAATGAGAATATTTTGGGGAAAAGTGAAGATGATTGCGATTTTGAAAGTCTCATATTTTAATTTTGTCAAATTTTTATTTTTTAGTTTTTGATTTAACCAGTAACAGAAATAAGAAAAGAAAAAGTTAAAACCTGTGGCATGCAGGGATTTCTTGCAACCTTGGGTTTGCAATTTACGAGCCACCTGTAGACCTTTCTTTTTTTTTTTTTTTATATATATATAATTTGAAAAACGTGCATATGCATTCCTAAGTGCTATAAACAACGTTATTACAAAAAAATTAAAAGGTTAGAGTTAAAAATTGCGTTTTGTCTCTTTAGTTCTTGATTTATAGTCTTTTAGCTCAACTTTATGCCACGATCATTTTGGTACGGCGGTATCAAGGGTATCTTTCATTGTATGGAAGTCCTCTACAAAATGCTTGACACATTGTCCATTAACTTTGAAGTTTCCCTTTATTGGGTGATAAATTCAACTGTTCCGTAGAAAATCACTTGAGCTACTGTGAAAGATCTAGACTGTCTTGATTTAACTTTATTGGAAGAAGTTTCAATATGGAGTTGTACAAGAGAACTTGATCCCCAACTCTGAAAACTCGTTGCTTAATGTTCTTTTCATGCCATTGCCTTCTTTATAGATAGCTACACTTTCATAGGTTTCTCTTTTTAATTGTTCCAGTTCATGTAACTGCAATATCCTTGTTTCCCCAGCTTTTTCTAAATCTACATTAAGCTCCTTCAATGCCCAATATGCGTTATGCTAGAATTTCACGGGTAAATAACACACTTTTTCAAATACAAATGGTATGGTGAAATCCCAATCAGTGTCTTGAAAACTGTAGACATGACCATATTGTGTCATCTAACTTTTTAAACCAATCTTTGTGTTGTCCAACTCATTAATTCCATTTGCTTTCTTTAGCACTACTCTTTCGGATAAAAACATGAAGTGTGCAGTTGCAATCAGCTAGAATAATTCCAAAAATTGTTGAATTAGTTTACTAATTATGTACCCATTTGCTAAAGAATCTACCTAAGATTTGCTGATTTGGCCGTTGGTGATTGTATAGTATAGATATACTCTGCTGATTACCTTTGCTCATCCCATGATTTGGATACTTCCTCATTAAATCTTTGAATATATTTCCAACCTTCGTGGTAACTTTCTCCATCACATTGCTAGAATGTTTGGAGTTCATGTTGAGCTTGTGTTACTTTTGTAGGTAGGAAGAATTTATTGAAGAATTTCCTTGCCAAGTCCTCCCAAGTAGTAATACTACTATGATGTAACGTTCCAAGTCTATCACTCTTTTATTATTATTTTTTTTTAAAGAAAACATAGGCTTGAAATGTCATCAAACATCTCCTCTATCTTATTTAAGAATTTAACAAAAATAAGAATTTACAACTTTGCACTATGTATTCTTACCCCAAATGATATCAAAAATTCTGAAATATTCCTTTGAGACTGAAATATTCCTTTGAGACTGTAGCCCGAGAAATAAAATGAAATTAGACTATTATTTTGTGACGATCTAGCATCATGAGCCTAGCCCATTTAAGAAACGAGCTATGGAAGCTCCACCCATTTAAGATTATGAAAGCTCAAACCATAAGTCAATTAAAAGCCCCACAATTTAAGAGATTAAGTTTAAGTAAATTTCATCACAAAGATTTAATGAATAATTGGGTTACCTCAATGGTCATCTACGTGATATTTCATATAGGCAACCCAAGTCCGAATCACCATGTAAATGTTTTTATAAAACTTTTTATATGAATTTTTTTTTATGGTTTAAAAACTCTTCAAATTCTTAGTTGAATATCAAATTAACAAATTTAATGATAATACAACTCTCCCATTTAGTTTTTCATTAGAAATGAAGGTTACAAAAAGAGAAATGTCACTTTTTCACTACACCCCCCTCTTAAATCCGAATTTACTCTTATTTTCTTTCAAAAAAATATATTTCACATCAAGTTAAGTTTAAGAGAATAACAAGGGTGAGAAGAGGAAAGGTTTTCTATACATTTTGTTCTTTTATATCTAAGAAAATTTAAAGTAAGTAGAGATGCAAGTATTTATTTCGTTTTTAAATTATGATTTTTTCATAAATATTTGAACGAAATGGTATTTTCGGGTACGGTGCTTCAGTATTACAACAGTTTAAACGATTATTTTCCAGCCCTATGTGCTATGATAATGTTATAGTAATTGAATTTTGCCGGAAATCCATCTATATGCGACGGTATGAATCTATAATTCGAAATTTCTAATTTAATAAAGAAATGCACCGATGATATCTATTAAGTTTCAAACTCATGAATTAATTCATTTTCTAAAGATTGAATGGATTTCCTTGAGGCATGGATGAGGGTAGATGGATATACAACATGCTATGGAGAAATCGGTGATTTAATATCTTTAATTTGATTATGAAATGTTTACGTTTTCTTTAAATTAGATTTCTGTGGTTGTTGTGTGTGGATCTATTATACGAATATTTTTTAAGAAAAATTTTTGTTTTAAAGTATATATGTGTTATAGAAATTTATTTACTAATCACTGTTGACCAAAAATAAAAAAATAAAAACAATGTTAGTGATTTAAAGTTTGCTATTTCTTTAAAATTCGGTTTCTTCCTTGACTTTAAAATTCGTAACTCATTCGTTACTTGAAATTTTAGACAGAATCAGTGGTGCTGGATAGCCTCATAGGTTTACTACTGAACATACTTGGAATCATGTCAATCCAATGTCGATAGAATTTTATTTAACACTTAAAGTAAACTACATTGGGTAATGTTGCTGTTTTTTAGCTTCTGCCCTTGGTTTCAAAATTTCCTCACTCACTCATTACTTGAGATTTTTGGATGAATCCAATTGGGTTTGATAGTCTCAAGGGTTAGCTACTGAACATAGTTGAAATCATGTCGATTTGATGTGTGTAAAATTTTATATGACACTTAAAGTATGTTGCGCTAGGTTACTTCCCAACCCCAGTCGCTGCGGGACTTTGAAAAATATTTTAATACCCTATATGCTACCATCGGAAGCCAATTTCCGAATATGTCATATTATAAGGAGTTTTCTAGTTTACATTTAAATTTCACAAAGTTTTGAGGTCGATAGCTATGCAAACGAATTTATTTTGTCAATTTCCATTTGAGATATATATATATAGAATTGAATTCTTAAATTAAATATTTATACTTTCCGCTAAAAGTATAGTAAATTATTAAGTTTACGGCTAAAGTACAATTAATTTTATGACATTTCAATTCATGCAGGTCGGGGCGTTATAGAGACAATAAATAAAAATGGACAAAACTGTAAGAAAATGAGAATTTAACTTGTGAAATTTTGATTGTGGCTAGTGGCTAAAAAATCAATTGGTCAATTAATATAATTTTTATTTCCAATCAATCACGTTAGTTTGGTCGTGGAATTCAATAATAATAATAATAATAATAATAATAATAATAATAATAATAATAATAATAATAAATTGTTTATTATATAATTTAATGAATGAATATGTACCGTTTCAAATTCTTAGGAATTGTATCGTGAAGTTTTCTTTCATTTATTTGTATATTTTTTATAATAAAATATAGGTTTTAGAATATTTTCTTTCTATCAAAATAACTTGAATATGATTATTCCAGAATTATTTTTTCTCGAGCCAATTTATATTATTCAACCTGAGCTACAAAATGAGTATAATATCGATATATTTTTTTATTAACTTTTAAAATACTTAAATATTCAACCCAAATAACTTACGATAAAATTCTAACAATAACAAAAT